ACATCCTTTAACGCAGTCAGGTGGGACAGGCTAACAGTAGACCGGCTCCAATTTTGAAAAAGAACTGGTTTGCTGAAGAGTAAGTGTGGATAGAGACAGATGCAACGCAATGGCGCAAGGTGCCGTGGGGCTTGTCTAGGAAGAAGTTAGAGCCAGGAGAGAGGCGTTCTGGGGCACAGCGTTAAAGAGAACAAGACGGGGAAGCAAGGAGAGCAACACTCAGCCCTCCCTCCAAGCAGGTGTTTTTCCTGGGTCTCTATAAACTTCTACTTAAGCCACACAGAAACATAACCTTCCCTTTCTTTCCAGGTTAGAAAGACAAACTGAAGTGCAAGACTGAAACTCGCACACATAAATCAACCCCCCTTATTTCTCACGACGCCGATAGGCAATCTTAAGTGGGTTTCTCCCTCCAAACCTGCAACGCATCAGTCAGAACGTGCATCGCTGTGCAAAGAGCGTGAGGAAAGCAGAGAACAAAGCCAGGAGAGGGTAACACGAACAATATTTGGCTGAAAACCTGAAACCAGCTGCAACCGAAAGGGATGAAAGACCATGCAGATTGTGAACAAGACACAGGAATGAGAAAGACGACAGAATCCCAGAAGAGTGATCGAAACCTTTTGTTGATGAAGAGTTAGAAGAAGGCAGAACTACAAGGCTTGTTATTAAAACACGGCTCTGAGCAGCGGAACATGAACCCCACGCATTACAGCAGAGGTAACCTTTTTAAAATGAGCACAAACCCCCAAATTTTCAATGCTCGCTCTTAGAAGCCAAAAGCACCAAAATGCAAAAGAGCTGAAAAGACACCTGTAGGAATTTCAAACCGCAAATACGGGGTATTTGCAGAGACACAAGTGAAATGCAATGATAAAAGTAGAATTTTAAGTTGGTTTTGAAAGTGCGTCGTGAAAATAATCATAAAAAACTCTAACCTCAGTATCAAATAAAAACTTCAGACATAAAGTAAACCATCTAGGCTGAGGGGAGAAGAATGAGTATTAGTGTAATATAAACAGAACTAAACTAGTTTTGCAAACCGATTCGTGCCTTTGGCAGGTTGTAAAGGCATAAATGGATAGCAGAAGATTTACTGTTTCTTTTTGTAACCATTCTCACTGCCCTTAAAAATTTTTCAGGCACTGTCAGACAGAGGTGACTACACATTCATCACCGACGGAAGAACTCCTCTTCAAAGATGCAGAACAATATTCCAGGGGTCGGTAAGGCGAAGTTCAAGAAGCCCACTCACTGGAGTGAAAAAATGGTCCTTGCTTTTACAGTTGTCACAACCCAGTTGCTCTAAGAAAAAAAAAAATATCTGAAGAACAAACACATTCAAAAAGAACCATCTGAATGTTCTGGAGGCATTAAAACTCGTGAACAAAACCAGAACTCCAGCCGTGTACAAAAGAAAATTGACAGCGTGCCCTCCAACAACGCAGAACACTTCAAAGGAAACCCCTGCCTCCTCCTTTAAGTACTACAGCTATCCTGCCTGGAGTACCTGCGACCTTGCACAGACCTGCCTGCACAGCTAAGGCCTAACTACATTCCCCGCAGTAAACTCCCTGAGGAGGCAGAGACGCGCACGGGCACGTCCATCGGCTGTATTTCAACCTGGATTTTGTTTGCGGAGTACAGAGCATGTATTTTTGTAGGAAGTCATGAGTGTTCGGAATGCTATGTCGCACGGATTTTTCTTTTTTTTTTTTTTTAAAGGGAGGTTATTTTAATATCTTAATGCTTATTAAAAAATTTGACGTTTAATATTAAACTCCTTTAAAAGTGTATTAATTAGAAAGCTTTATCTGCCTACTTATATTCTAAGAATACGGATGAGCCGCTGAAATGAAACTCAAGCGAAGGAGTAGTTTCCCTTTCCCCGAAAGGGGAGGAGTTCAGCGCAAGGACTGCACTGCGTTCTGACTGACCCAGGAAAGACTGAAAAACAGGGACACAGTTCTCCATTTGCCAAAACGATGCCGTAGAAGAAATTACTGACGCTCAACGTCAAACTCAAAAACATTGATGCTAAAGACAGGAACCTCTGAGAAGACTAACAAGTTCCTTTTATTTCAAATCAACGCTATTTTAAGGCACTGGAGACAAGCGTTCACGTTTTGCAGCACCACCTCATTCACTGTAACTGCACACACACCTGCAGTTTTTAAACCATCAGCGGGTCGCTTCTGTTTTCAGAGTTGCTTTATAACACGCTCCCTAGGAAAAACAAACACGTCTAAAAGAAATCAAAAGTTACAGCTCATTTTTGAAAGTGAGCAGGTGCTTTGCGATGGCTTTCTCCCGGGGGCACGAAAGAGTACAACAGGCCACCACACGAAGATGAGGATACCGACCAAAAACCCTAAAAGCGAGGAGGTGCTGAAGGACATCGACGTCCTAACGCCAAATCCAGCAGCCACCAGAACGTGGCGAAGAGGCAGGTGCCGTACAGCAGACAGCCCTGGTATTTTTGGGGTGAAGTAGCCAGATCACAGGGAACGGCGGGGAACAAACCATGAAAACCCAGCTCACGGCAGTGTAATAAAACTTCGGGGGTCATAAAGCCTCTGCCTGCGCCACCCCCAGAGCCGATTCCTGACCGGGCCCTCAGGTCACCTCTCCTCCCTGAAGATCGGCTTCAAGATGAGGACACAATCCCACGCTAGCGATCGCTGCCAGGACAAAAAAAAAAACCCTCTGACTTCCCGTAAGTATTTTAAGCTGCTCCAGTTCCCGACAGTGAATCAGGGAACTAGAGGGAAGGCGCCCAAATAGAGGGCGCGGGGCAGGCGGCCCGGGAAGATCCACGCGTGCACAATCAGGGGCACACGCCGAAGCATCCGAGACGATCCCAAAGGCTACGGCAACTCTCACCCCGCCGATCTAGCGACTAAATACCTAACCGCCCGCCTTTGCC